TCAACATCTTAGCCACGTATCTCTGTAATGACTACAATATATAACCACCCCTTGTCATGATAAGGTAATATAAAGAAGTCTCTTACTTATCCCCCACGCACTTAGTCAACAAATCCCTGTCCTCAGGTAGAACTAAAATATTATTAGTCAGGTGGAGCTTAATGATGCCTCCTGACATATATCACGTTACGGCTGCTGCCGGTGACATTGGCTGCGCCCGTCTCGGTAGATGGATCTCCCTTCGCATAATTTTTGAGGCGTACGGAAGCTCGAGTCTCCTTGATACGTCACCAAGGGAGAGTTTATTTTCGATGCGAATAAAAAATCTATTATTTACATACAGAGTTAATAAAGTAACTGAAATTATTATATTTCTGCACTTGATTTAGCTAGACTTAACATTTTTAGTTGCAAATTATAAAAAAAATGTTCTAGGAAAATAAGAAATCAGTTGATAGGCAATTTTAGAAGAAAGTCAATAGGATGAATATGATTTAAATAGCAAAAAATAAGTATCGTGAAATGTATACAATAGTTTTAGCACAGAAGCCGATGAAATGTGGCACTACACAAAAAAATAAGAGAAATTATACGAATGTTTTCGTGTTTGGAAGTATCTAGAAGTGAATATAGATGAAAGCCATGCATGTAATGGTGGATGTAACAGAAAGTGAACAAAACTGCGCACACAATTTTTTCTTGAGCAAAAACTGCTCAATCTCATCTCTTTTTCTGATAAAAATTCCTAAGAGGGAGAACGTTTATTAAAAAAAAGGAAGGGAAATGCTTGGCTGATCGAGCCTCAAGCGAGGGGCGCGTCGCTCCCCTCATCGTCCCTCACGAGACGCCGCGATGATTTAAGGCTCGGCCGCGTGCACGAGACGAGGGTAAATTGCGGACCAGACATGATAGCCCTCGTACAGCACTACTGCTGCACACTCCTGCTGCACACTCCTGCTATTTTATTTTTATCTATACACTTATCCATGCTCCTATCCATACTCCTATCCATACTCCTTTCCATACACTTATCCATACTCCTATCCATACTCATATCCATACTCCTATCCATACTCCTATCCATACTCCTATCCATACTCCTATCCATACTCATATCCATACTCCTATCCATACTCCTATCCATACTCCTATCCATACTCCTATCCATACTCCTATCCATACTCCTATCCATACTCCTATCCATACTCCTATCCATACTCCTATCCATACTCCTATCCATACTCCTATCTATACTCCTATCTATACTCCTATCTATACTCCTATCTATACTCCTATCTATACTCCTATCTATACTCCTATCTATACTACTATCTATACTCCTATCTATACTCCTATCTATACTCCTATCTATACTCCTATCTACCCTCCTATCTATAATACCATATATACACCCACTTATAGGACCTCCCCTCCACGATATCTACTCCCAAATCTTCCTCCTTATCAGCAGGCGGTCACAGCTCGCGCTGATTGCAAGCCACCCTAATTAACTCTCCTCTTCTCTAACAAAATCAATTTGTAAAAGCAAGTGACTCCGCAAGTTGGGAATTACGAAAGTTTTTACTCAAGCCCTGCCAAGGCAGGCGTGCCCTATCACTCCAGGGCATCGTTCAGCCGATTCACTCACTTTCATTACGTTCATCACGCTTTTCACGCTCATCACGCTTTTACTCGCTTCACGCTCTCCTCTATCATTATGCATCTCACCATCGTCACGCTCATCCCCTCACCACGCTCATGTCACTTCCCAGCACAATCAATTTCTTTTTGGCACTTCAATAAGACCATCAATTGTAGGAAATCTGACCTTCAGGTTGATACTTTATTACGATTAGTTTAAATACGAATAATGTTTAAAGTTAAACAAAGCTAGTAGCCAAGAAACGCTCAGTTCATTCATTTGTTGATACAAAGCCTCGTAGCCAAGATACGCTCAGTTCATTCATTAATTGATACAAAGCCTCGTAGCCAAAATACGCTCAGTTCATTCATTAGTTGAGACAAAGCCGCGTAGCCAAGATACGCTCACTTCTTTCATTAGTTGATACAAAGTCATCGTAGCCAAGATACGTTCAGTTCATTCATTAGTTGATACAAAGCCTCGTAGCCAAGATACGCTCAGTTCATTCATTATTTGATACAAAGCCGCGTAGCCAAGATACGCTCAGTTCATTCATTAGTTGATGCAAAGCCCTCCTAGCCAAGATACGGTCAGTTCATTCATTAGTTGATACAAAGTCTCGTAGCCAAGATACGATCAGTTCATTCATTAGTCGATACAAAGCCCTCGTAGCCAAGATACGTTCAGTTCATTCATTAGTTGATGCAAAGCCCTCGTAGCCAAGATACGTTCAGTTCATTCATTAGTTGATGCAAAGCTTCGTAGCCAAGATACGCTCAGTTCATTCATTATTTGATACAAAGCCTCGTAGCCAAGATACGCTCAGTTCATTCATTAGTAGATACAAAGCCGCGTAGCCAAGATACGCTCATTTCAGTTACCGTAAAAATGTTGGCTTATGATTGGTCGGGAAAGCGGGAGCAGATAGCCAATCACAGGCTCAGGCTGCCGACTGCGTTAGCCTGATTGGAATCGATAAAATTTCCAAAGAAATTGCAATTGACCGAACGTTTTACAAGGAATTTATTGAAAAATTTTCAAACTGGAAGGAAGATTTCGCGAGGCGAAGGTTGATCAGAATTTGAATCGGCAACTCACAAACTAGAGATAATTTTTCTTCAAACCAGAAATTTTAAGACTGTTCGTTGATCTACCGCGCAGAGCATGTAGTTTCTGAACTGACATAAAGTGCTCGTATTTAATGAACACTTCGTTAAATCTTTATTATTTTCAATTTGTGCCTCATGATATTGTTAAGTAATAAAGTAAAGTAACGATCGAGAATAAATTTATGATTGAGTGGAAAATAGTCAATGAATGGGGATAAACAAGAATCATTTCTACATTGAACATTATTTTACACACAATAACGGCGCTCCAAACTAAAGATTGCAGCCAGTGTTTGCCAGTATTTTTGTCCGTGTTATTATACTAAAAAATTTGTGCCATATAGTTAAGGTCTTTCGATCGCCGGATAATTTTATTCCTTCTTATTCCACATCAATAAATCGTTGCATTTTAACTCTTCTTCAATTACTGTAAGTTTTGGTTGTTGGTTATAAGCTTGGGTTAGACTATATATTAGAGACTATATATTATATAGACTATATATTAGAACAATTCTTGCCACGACCAAGCGCAGTGAGCGAGTGTTACATGCATATTTTTGAAGTTTTGAATAACAGCCGCTGCTGCAATGCGATATAAATACTCTGCCGAATGGCTGTAGCAAATAACAGCCGCTGCTACAATGAAGTGCAAATATTTTGCCGTTATGGCTGTAGAAAACAACTGCTGCTGCTACAATGGATTACAAATAATCTGCCGTTGTGACTGTTGCAAATCTTCCTATAATTTTTCTGCCCGAACTAGAACGCAATGATTTTACGTAAGCGTTTCTTAATTTAACGGAAATTGTTTACTTCATGTGAAGTAATTTACTAGAAAAGTTCAAATACGCAAAGCGTGTGATAATTTGAAAATGCTACATTTAAATGGTAGAAACAATTTCGAAACGTTTCGGCCGAGACCGAAAACGAATTAAAATTTTACCAGGAAACCTGAAATCTCAAATTCGGGCGTTCTATTGAACTCGGTCGCTCATGGTCGACACATTTATATCAGGAAAATTGTCGGAAAATTTTTAATTCATGTTCCAAAAATGTGTTAGGGCGTTGTGCGTTAATAGTTTAATGGAGTTTAATAGTTAAACTTTGCATTAAAAATGTCTGAGGAATTATATTTTCAAAATATTCCTTTGGTATCAGAGCATCAAGCGACGTGAGCAAATGAATAATTTTTCTATTTAAAAAACAAATCTCTCCACTATTTAATACCGAATTAAAACGAGCATTTATAATACCCAGAGCGGCCACGGCGAAGAGCCGCTCTCACGTATCTCTCGCGTCAAAGCGATACGTTTAAGCCTGTCAGAATTTAAACGAAAAAAAAATGATTCAAATCGACGCTGGATGACTTAAATGATCAAAATTTATAATTACCATTATCATGATGATACATGAAAAATTCGCCACGATATTAGTTTTGGACATTATAATCAAACTATTATTGGTGAAAGTGACATTATTATCAACACTGTGCAACAAAGCACGGAAATATCTACCTTCACTACAAGGCGAGTGAAATCCGATTTTTTATAAGGTATTTCATGAATAATCTTGTCTAATTTTGATTTAAAGTTCGTAAATACTTCTTATTCCGCAAGATCATCACTCTTCATTACAGCAAATGGGTGCAAAGGTATTTGTCATTTAGATTCTGCTCAGTTTCTTCTGATTAGCAGATTTAATTCCTTATTTCGTATGAATGTCAATTTGAGGTATTGAATTTTTTCCTATGTAAGAGTAATAAAAAAATTACTCAGTAGGTATTTCGCTTCCTAATTCACAACTTCTTCTCGAGTGGATTCATGTTTTTTTTTATTTTAATGTTCTATTACATGAAATGATTGGAAAAATTATTCCCTGCTGTGAGAAGAACGTCATAACATTATTCCTGCATTTTTAAACACATTTAGGATTCCTAATCCACCATCTGCAGAAAGCTTGTCAAGTTTATCGTAATTTCAAATAATTTTCTTGACACATCAAATATCTGCTGTACATTTATGAGTCTTCTGACGTCTCTTCAGCCACTTAGCGTGTGCAGTTTCCATCCTATTTATCTCGCCGAATATTTTCTTCCTGAAGCCCCACCATACATTCCACTTTTGACAGCAATTGCCGCATAAGAATTGCGCTTAAAAAAAGTGCGCGCTCGAGAGATCGCGTCTGTAGCGGACGTTAAAGAACGACGCTTGCCGCCTCCCAAGCCAACAGACTCGAGTAACAGATCTGACATGAGCAGACTAAAGACTTCCAGACCTGAGACTAACAGATCTGACACGAGCAGACTAAAGACTTCCAGACCTGAGACTAACAGATCTGACACGAGCAGACTAAAGACTTCTAGACCTGAGACCAACACATCTGACACTAGCAGACTAGAAACTTCCAGACCTGAGACTAACAGATTTGACACGAGCAGACTAAAGACTTCCAGACCTGAGACTAACAAATCTGACACGAGCAAACTAAAGACTTCCAGACTTGGGACCAACAGATCTGACACGAGCAGACTAAAGACTTCCAGACCTGGGACCAACAGATCTGACACGAGCAGACTAGAGACTTCCAGACCTGAGACTAACAGATCTGACACGAGCAGACTAAAGACTTCCAGACCTGGGACCGACAGATATGACACGAGCAGACTAAAGACTTCCAGACCTGGGACCAACAGATCTGACACAAGCAGACTAATTACTTCCAGACCTGAGAATAACAGTTCTGACATGAGCAGACTAAATACTTCCAGACCTGAGAATAACAGTTCTGACATGAGCAGACTAAATACTTCCAGACCTGAGACTAACAGGTCTGACACGAGCAGACTAAAGACTTCCAGACCTAAGACTAACAAATCTGACAAGAGCAGACTAAAAACTTCCAGACCCAATATTAAAAGATTTGATACGCGTAAACGAATGACTTGTGACATGAACCTGACAGTTGACTGTAGATAACATAACGGGTCTATGACCAACAGACCCTACGAAGAAACCCAGCAGACTTGTGACCAGAAGACTTGGCTAATAAACAATTGGGCATTGAGAACAGCAGACATAACTAACAAACATAACAGACCTTAGACTCACAGATCAGACCATCGAACACTGCAGACCCGAGACTCACAGACCAGACCATCGAACACTGCAGACCTGAGAGCTACCGACCATCAAACCTGGGACCGACCTGAGAAACCATCAAACCCCATAAAGACATAAGACTCACTCGCCAGACTATCAATTCTTCTGCACACGAGACTCACAGACGAGACTATCAAAACCCTAGGCATATGGCTTCCAGACCAGTCAAACCTATAGGTTAGACAGGTATGAGACACGCTAATTTGCTCAAGAATTCAGACCACAGATAACCCGCGCGACTTTATGTGGAAAACAACTCATTAGGATAAAAATAGAAGAAGAGATCGGTAAGAATGCATTCGTGGCATTAGTTACGTTACGTAGTCGGCATTAGTTACGTAGTCGGCATTAGTTACGTAGCCGGCGCTAGTTACGTAGGTAGTCGACATTAGTTACGTAGTCGGCATTAGTTACCTAGTCGGCATTAGTTACGTAGTCGGCATTAGTTACGTAGTCGGCATTAGTTACGTAGTCGGCATTAGTTACGTAGTCGGCATTAGTTACGTAGTCGGCATTAGTTACGTAGTTGGCATTAGTTACGTAGTCGGCATTAGTTACGTAGTCGGCATTAGTTACGTAGTCGGCATTAGATACGTAGCCGGGCACAAGTTATACAGCCTTGCATTAGTTGCACACTACGCATGATGCACAGCCTGGCACTAATTGCACTGCTAAGCACTAGTTGCACAGCCAGGCACATGTTCCACAGCTGGACAAAAATTACTCAGCCTGGCACTAGTTGCACAGTCGAGCACTAATTGCACAGTCAGGCAAGAGTTTCACAGCCGGGCTCGACTCGACTTGAATATGTAGGAGAATAGAACTAGATGTTACAACTTGAACGCGTGAACTATCAATTATATGCTGACTTAATCAAATAGTGCTGGTAAGCTTGGAAACGAAAAAAAATTTTAATGAAGATGAGATAAACACTTTTATTCAACGAAAAATTTATTTTGTATTGTCATTCATTACTTGAACATAGCTTAAGAGTACAAAATTGGCCGTGTTGATTTTGATTATGACAATTTACTTAGCCTACTGTTATTTCGTTCTTTGACTTGTTTCGCCTCCGCGTTTGACTTATGAAACACTTGAACATGAGAAATTGAACACAAATGAACTTTAAAAGTCGAATAAGAGAGTGCAGGAGCGAGATCAGAGACACGGAACAAAATAAAATAGACATTTTCAAACGAAACTCAGACATTGTCCAAGGTTATAGAGAGAGAAGAAGAGAAAATTGATTTCCGAGTATACATTACCTCAATGATAAGGATTATAAAAATAGATAAGTAATTTATCGGTTGGACATAAATAATGCGAGGGACCTCAAAATGTTCAGTTAGGTAGAGGAATTTTAAAAGTGTTTAAGAAGGATCCAAAGAAAGAAAGAAATGTTCTAAGAGGACGAGAATACCAGAATACATCATCATGTATTCCGTAAGTCGACGCTGGTAGCTTTTGATAACGCATCAGCTATTCCGACTGTAGCCCCCCGGGTGCTCCGTATTCCTAGGATTCCAAGCACCCATTCCTGACTGATTGGGAATATCTGTGTTGGGAATTCTCAATAGGAATCTGAACATTTGATGTTACCGAGTTTTTAATGTTGGCGATGAAACTATCTGTTATTAACATAACTTTTGATGTAGTCCACTCGCTAAAAGTGTAGGTCCGTTTAACGATTAGAAAATGTTTAGATTCCCAAGATGCAGGTTTAATGCTTATGTCGTCTCAAAAGGCAATTAAGAGATATGCTTCATAATGCCGTAATTGTTTATTACGTTAGATATTTTTGCCGTACTAAATCAGGCAAAACGTAACTAAATTAGCCATTTCCACTAATATCAGAAGCTCTTTCATATTCAACCGTATTTTTATTCAAGGCCAGCGGCCTCTAGTTACGCTAGCTGCATTATCACTGCAGATATTGAGACCATTTCATGTCATGCTTAATTTCACTTAGAGAACAGGTTAGTGTCCGAAGATATTTTGAACGTGGTTCAGAAATTTTTCATTGTATTTGTTGTTATATTTTTGCAATTTTACTTACATTTTTGGAGTTAATATGGAAGGAGTGTACTCGATGTTTGGCAGTTTTCCAAGTTGGACCAAGGGCGGTAAAATGTTTTACCGTACCCATTACTGTAGGTATCACTTGCGGCCGTTGTCGTACAAATGAGGCAGCAATTGTGGCCGTAGTCGTACGGAGGATGCAGCACTTGTGGCCGTTGTCGTACGGATGAGGCAGCACTTGCTGCCGTTGTCGTACGGATGAGGCAGCACTTGCGACAGTTGTCGTACGGATGAGGCAGCACTTGATATCGTTGTCGTACGGATGAGGCAGCACTTGCGATAGTTGTCGTATGGATGAGGCAGCACTTGATATCGTTGTCGTACAGATGAGGCAGCACTTGCTGCCGTTGTCGTACGGATGAGGCTGCACTTGCGACAGTTGTCGTACGGATGAGGCAGCACTTGATATCGTTGTCGTACGGATGAGGCTGCACTTGCGATCGTTGTCGTACGGATGAGGCTGTATTTGCGCAGTTGACGTACGGATGAGGCTGCACATTCAGCCGTTGTCATCCGGATGAGGCAACAATTGTGGCCGTTGTCGTACGGACGAGGCAGCAATCGTAATCGTTTAAGTATGGATGAGGCAGCACTTTCGTTCGTAATTGTACTGATGAGGCAGCTTGTGCTGCCGCTGCCGTATAGATTAGGTAGCTCATATGGCCGTTGTCGTACGGATGAATCAGTACTTGTCGCCGTTGCACGGACCACTTCAGCGAAAAGAGTTGGATTTTCCAAATATGCCTACAATTTTAACTTTATTTTGCTAAAACATTTTTTGCAACTGCTGAGTTTGCATATAAAATTAGTATCTCAATAGATGGTCCAGAATACACTTAGCTCTCGCAGCCCATATGGCAACATTTTAGTGCATGCGTTTCAATACTTCTTTACTCATCTTTTCCAGCAATTATGGCCACATTCAAACTGCAATTATGCCTAAATTTTTCCTTAAAATTAATGGCCGTACGCATCCGTTGGGGGATAGTTTTCAGCGGTTGGACAAAGGCTCTCCTGGGTCTTGCAATTAATTAAACGGCATTATACGGACGGCCAGTCGAGCGCCGTAGCTGCTGTGCCAAAGAGCCGTCCCAACTGCGCGAGGTTCGCAAGATCCAGGTGCAGGTTAGCCATCCCAATGGATTACTATATTGATGTTAAATTAACTGGTTAAGCTGGCCGCAAAAATCAATATTTTCCTCCCCTTACCTGGAAAGGCTTACCGTCTTTTCTTAGGAGCTAATTCGCTCAAGATGTGGGCAAAGATTTGATTATTTTTAGGAAATCGTATTAGAAGTTTGTACGTGTTTATCAATTATGTTAACCAGCTATTATTCAAATATTATATATAAACATGATATTAGATTAAAATATCAAATTAGTACTTGTACAGGGTGATTGCGTTGATTTTAAATGAAATTCTATAAGCTGGAGCGTATGGTTGTATCACGTAGTTGTGGAAATGGGATAATGCAAAAAAATTGCAACGGAGCAAATTCATTTTGAATGATAAATAAAATACAGTGGATTCGGGCTAAGCGGGGCACATCATAACGTATTCGTTTAGTCCTTTAACCGAGTTTTCCTTTAACCGAAAAATGGTTTAAATAAATGGAAGATGACCTTTAATCGTAATACCATTTTTCCAAAGAGAAATCGTGTTTCGATTAGTGGCAATCCTCTAATTAGTGTGTGGTATGCACGATTAGTGGTATGCATGTGAACAATTATTCAAAGGTTACGAATCGAATTATGATACATGTGAAAAATGGATTACAATTTTATGAATAGATGTGACGAAAAGTTGTAGAGTCGCGATATAAACCGGCGTAATCTACTACAATACGAATGTATATAGAGTTTCAACAATTTTTCAAGTTTTCTAAAAACTTCCTTTTCAATTACACTTAGGCGTCGAATAATGATTCTGGATAAAAAAGACACGATCGCAGTTCTGAAATAAAAATCCATATATTCTAACGTTTCGGCTAACTACACTTTAGCCATCATCAGAGTAAATAAGATGATAATCTGGAAAGAATAGTCTATTCTTTCCAGATTATCATCTTATTTACTCTGATGATGGCTAAAGTGTAGTTAGCCGAAACGTTAGAATATATGGATTTTTATTTCAGAACTGCGATCGTGTCTTTTTTATCCAGAATCATTATTCGACGCCTAAGTGTAATTGAAAAGGAAGTTTTTAGAAAACTTGAAAAATTGTTGAAACTCTATATAAAAATAAAGTCCGATTTATTATTTCTGTACAATACGAATGGTTACGTAAATATAATGATTTTACATAGAAATGTAAAAAAATTCTTTTGGTGTAGGCTATTTACACATCCTGCACAATCCAATACTCCGATATGCTGGAAAACAGAAAGATTTTTCGCTCTATCTTCTTAGACTCATTAACACTAATGATGGGCGTTATTCTTTAAATTAATTTAGACTTATATGACTATGCAATCTGCCGGTACACCAAAATGTGTTTACGCGAACTCTCCTCATTAATGTAAATTGAAGCCAAATCTTTGAAAAAATTCTCGGCTAGGAAACCTTTATGCAGCTCGTGGCTTTATGTAAACAATGTCAATAAATCCCAAAGTTCCCGCATTCAACAAAAAAATTTTGTTTTGCATGCTATTTTTTGGTTTAGAAGATGAAAATTCTAAAATGTATAATTTTCATTTTGTAGGAATCTTGGTCGAAGAATTGTTTTCGAAATTGTAAAT